CTAGAATGCCTTTACAAACTGCTACCTTTCTAAATTTGAGCCCAAAATATTTGATTGGTTATTTTAGAAATGTTATTGAAAGTGACTGTTATTAATGGTTTCAGTGAAATTCATATTAATGATTTCAGTGATATATTGAGTACATGATATTGCTGCTTTCGAATGTTTAAAGAGCTTTAGAAATAATTTAAGTATGCAAGTGGACTCATCCGGTTCGCCGGTGAGGTATAAGTGGACCTATTTGGGATGCCGGTAGGGATTAAGTGGACTCATCCGGTACGCCGGTGAGGTATAAGTGGACCTATCTGGGACGTCGATAGGGATTAAGTGGACCCATCAGGACGCTGATGGGGTATATAGGTGACCTACTTGGGACGCCAGTAGGGTATTTTGTGAAATCCTTTGAATTATGTACTGCCGTTAAAAGTGTTATAAGCATTTCAATTACTCGGATTATACTTAATTATGCATTTATTGAAAGTGAAACTGTTGATACATTTCTGTTAATAGATCTCATTTTGGAAAATATTGATATCTTTTAATCATGATTATTTTTAGGATTATGATGATCACTTACTGAGTAGCCAACTCATCAAACTATGGTAAACATTTTTCAGGATAACTGCGGATTCATTTTGAGTGCTAGTCAAGATCAACCTTGGAAGATACTGTTGTTGTGCTAGCTTTCTTTATTTACTTTGTAAGACCTCGCCACTGTAAATTTGTCCTATCAATGGATGTATATATGTTTTGTCTGTCGCATCTCAGGAATAACAGTACTGTAAATTCTTGGGGTGTGACATGTGCAACTGGAGTTAGCATTGCATATCAATGAAGCTGAAGGGCAAGTTCTATAGAACAACTGTGACACCAGCTTTGCCCTATGGGGCGGAATGTTGGGCAATAAAAAAACAATATACCCATAGAATGAGAGTAGTGGAGATGAGGATGCTGAGATGGATAAGTGGCAAGACAAGAAGGGATAGAATTCAAAATGAATACATTCCAAAAAATTTAGGTGTGGCACTAATAGGGGATAAGATAAGAGATAGTAGACTTAGGTGGGATGACTATATGTGGTGCACAATACAATACCTGTTAGGAGGTGTGAGTTAGTTCAAGTGGAAGGTTCAAAATGGGCAAAGGGTAGGGGGGCCAAAAGGACATGGTTGGAAATAGTGAGAAAAGATATGGGGACTTATGGTCTCACTAAGAGTATAACTCTTAATAGAGCACAATGACGGACTAGCATTCGTGTAGCCGATCCCAATTAGTTCGAAAAAGGTTTTGACAATGATGATGATATAAAATAATGCAATTTAAATAAAAATTTAATATGCTTTTATTTTTATTATTTTTAAGTCATTTTATATTTTTATAGTTATTTAATTTCTCGAATTTAATGTTTGATTTGGTTTTTATATTTTATTGCAGTCTTAAATTTCAATTACCTTGTAGTTTCTTTCTAACATAAGTTATCTATTTTTTTGAAAAAGGTCTCTAGTTTGATCGGAAGTTCTATTTTGTTTGGAACTCCTATGCTTCATTTGGGAAGATATTGATTGATAACAGTAATGGATTAGCGCTAGCGCATTATTGCACTCTGTAACAATAGGGAGAAAAGGGGTAAGGGGCCCTTTTTCGAAAGAATGCAAAAATGACTTATTCTTCTTTTGTTAATATGTTGCATGACTTGAGTAATTGATTTGGGTGTTGGGAAAAGTTGATGGCCAACACAAATATCATGCAAATTATGCTATAACCGTTCTTCAAAGCCTATCCAAAATGAAACCTTAGTTCAACTCATGGAAAAACGTTTCCTGGGTGCCCTGGTGGGGTGGGCAGGACTTAGGTAAAATGGAGGGAGGAATAAATAGAAGTGTGACTAGTTTGAAAGTCGTGCTCCTATTTATTCTCATTTTTTAAAAAATTGGTGATTGCAGAAGCTTGTCTTTTGAGTCAGTTTCGAGTTTTGGTATCATCTTTTCTTGGAGATAATGAAAAATTTGATGGTTTAGAATCCTTGCCTGCTATGGATCTCTAAATGGCAATTCTCCATTTGTTATATACAGAACCTTCTGGTTTGGCTAGCCAAACCAATCTAATTTGTCTTTGCTTGTCCACTAGTTGGACCAAAGTAGACTGAGCGACAACTTTATCTAATTTGATGGCCTCCCTGGTTCTGATATCATATACTTCAATCTGCATCTCCTTTTTCTTTTGTTTGAGAAGGTCAATCTGCATGTCCTGTTGGTAGTGACTTTTGAGAGGTTTATCAACTGAACTGCTACGTTGGAAATATGATATTGGAATGTTTTTATTTAATAACACGACCCTATAATCTGAACTATCCCATGATCTCAATAAATAATTTTTTTAAGAAAAATATAAATTTATTAATAGTTATTGGGTTGTGCAGGTGTGGGCCTTGTCTGTTGGAAGGAAAACTGAGATGTTGGCTACTGGTGGTGGTGATGGGGCTATCAATTTGTGGCATGACTGCACTGCTGAAGATAAAGTAGAAGCCCTTCAGAAAGAGGTTTGAATTATTATTTTACTGTTAATGAATCATTCTTTTAATGTTAATTACCCATCCTAAGGATACAAAAATAGAAATTATCCATTATAAACATGTTCCTTCAGTGACACTTCTTGCATGTTTATGGTGTTAGTGTTGCCCAAGACTGTTTTATGCGTCTTCTTCTCATTTTAAGGACATGCATGGAGTGGACAAAGCACCCACTGAGCTGCACCTCTATGGGAGAGGGAAGAGCAGCTTTTTTAATGATTTATCCCCATCTATACAATCGAGGCTGAATTGTTGTAGCATTCAGTGCTGCACCGAATGCGAAATGGGCCCAACGCATACAACTCCATCCTATTGACAACTTATAAGTGATCCAAATAGGCCTTAAATGTGTTGCATTTATAGGGGGGAACTGTGCATGAACAAAGTTGCCCTTTTCGATAGCATTGATGGGCCCCAAAAACTGTCCATTTGTTGG